CTCTCTCTCTCTCTCTCTCTCCCTCTCTTTATCTCTCCCCACCCCTCACGAGACAAGCCCGAGTGGGCCCCAGCACCGTTTATCACAAAAGAAGCCGAGCGGCTCTGGGAGCCCCTTGAACTGCGCTGTCCCGGCTTCGGGGCGCAGACCCCAGGGACGCGCGCGGGGCTGAGGAAATCCAATCTGGGCGGGCTGGGCTGGGCAGGAGAAGGAGAAGGCGGATGTAGAGCGCGCTCCGGGCCTCGGACAAGTTCTGCAAGTTCCAGGGATGGCGAAGGGGGCAGGGGTCCCGACCCCCCACTAGGCTCTGGAATCCTTGCCCCCAAATACTTGCGAGGAGAGAGAGAGGAAGAGAGAAGCAGTTTTCAGATCGCGCGGCCCCCGGTTCCCAGCCCGCAAACTAGAAGGTAAATACTTACTTCGCCTCCGAACCAGGTACAAGCTAATACTCAACAATACTGATGCCTTGTTTTTTTTGCTCTGTCCGGACCGCAACGCTGTAGCCAATTTAGATATGCTATAAATTTAAGAGGTTGCCATGGCCACCGCGCGCCCATTGGCCACCAGGCCCCCTACGTGCCGTGCCACGTCACCAAATCTGAATAAGGATGCGCGAATTAGGCGGCGGCCAGACAAAGATGAGGATCGGGACCGCTTGAAAGTGGGGGAAAGTGCCGGCGCCTCCGCCACCGGGGAAAGCCGCTCGGCAGCGCCAAGGCCAGCAGCCACCCAAGACACCTGGGAGAGCTCGGAACAAGCGCGGGGGCGCGCGATCCGGGGCATGAGGCTGTGAACGCCACCACTCCCCACCCCACTCCAGGCGGCCCAGCGATCACCCAAGGACTTGACCGGCTGAGTCTTGGTCCGGACCGGACTCGCCCGCCGACGGCCGAGAGAAGAGGCGGCACGCAGCGGCGGGGCCGTGGGGGGCCCGAGGGCCGGGGGCCCAAAGGGAGGGCAAGGCGGCGCGAGCCGCCCGGGGCTCGGGGCTATGATGGTGCACTGTGCCGGTTGTGAGCGGCCCATCCTCGACCGCTTTCTGCTGAACGTACTGGACCGCGCGTGGCACATCAAATGCGTTCAGTGCTGTGAGTGCAAGACCAATCTCTCGGAGAAGTGCTTCTCGCGCGAGGGCAAGCTCTACTGCAAAAATGACTTCTTCAGGTAAGAGGCCGCGCAGCCCTGCAGCCCGCGCGCCCACCCTGCGCGCGCTCCGTTGGGGTGCCGGGAAAGGGGAGACCACGAAACCCATCCCAGCCTCCCGGGCTCGCCAGCTTAAAAGGGGAGCAAGGAAGCCCACTGCTCTCCTTGCGTCCTCGGTCCAGGAAAGGGCCCGAGCCCGGGTGGAGCGAGCTGGACGCTGCTTCTCGGCCTCACGGTTGCACCTCCAGGCCGGCTTGGAGCCGAGATGGGGCAGGGAAGAAGAAGCCGAGACAAACTTGCTCCCCACCCGACTCGGCCCCTTCCTAGAGATTGCAACCCCAAGGTGGGAAGTTTCAAGCTCGGTTCTGAAAGAGGAAGGGTTTTTGCAAAGTTAGGAGTTGGCTGGAGGCTTTTCCCACCGAGCAGAGAGCATTTGCGCAGAGCCTGCCCTCCCGGCAAGGCGGGCAGGGCCCCAGAGCCTTCCTGGACAAACAGAAACTTCCCAGCTCCAGAGGGGGCTCAGCCAGGAAGGTCTCCTCTGCTGTTGGGGGTAGGGAACCTTCTTCTCCTCACCCTCCTACCCCAACTCCTTAAACATTTTCTCCCACGTTGAAAAGTACCAATGAAATCAGGACGTTTGGGGTCTATCCTGAGCGGTGTCACCTCCCCTTGCTGCCCACAGGGGCCCACAGGCAGGCCAGAGATGATCCCTTCTCTGGGCCTCAGTTTCCCCAGCTGGGAAATACCAAAGGATGGCTGGAAGGCTGTGTGGTTTCTGGCCGCTCAGCCCTGCCTGCTTCCACCGGGCACCCAGAGCTGGCTTTGTGAGTGCGAATTCCAGCGCCCAGGGAAGTGGGGGGGAGTGATTAACACCGCTGAGCAAGGCTGCTCCCTGGCCCCAGCTGCTTGGCACTAAGAATTTGAATAGGAGAAAATGTCAGCCGCGCCTTTACATGTGTAAACTCCCCGGCCCCATAGAACTGAGGCCCCTAATGTGGCCGTGCTTGCAAAGCACCTAATGATTTTTGATAAGGTGCATATGGCCAATTACACTGCCGGATAAGGCCAAAAGTGACTTATGGCTTCTAATGCCCTCACTACATCAATGTCACCCAAATTCGCCCTGTTTAGAGACCTGGGTGTGAGTGGATGTGGGGCCCCAAAGTCCTGGGCCCTCTCTGTTCCCCAATCTGCACCACCCATTTTGGGGGTGCCAGCCTTCTCCCAGCGCTCAAGGAAGAAAGAAAAGGATTCAGACCGGGAACGCGGGAAAGGGGGAAATTTCAGAAATTACATGTGCTGGCCACGCAGGTGTAGGATTGTCTTCTGGCCACATTCTCCCACTGTCTGCCAGGGCCAGAAATTTGGGTGGGAGGGCGGATAGGGTGGGCCTAGAGACTCGGTCTCTGCTTCCCAGAGTCCACCGTTCTGAGGCCATGCTGCCCACAGGCTCCTGACTAGCTCTGGTGGGTCTCACAGTGGGGACTGGAAAGCCTCCAGGGCTGGTGGCACTGTAAATCAGCAGAAAGTTCCCTCCTTTCTACTCAGGTCCAGCTCAGGAGAGGGGCTCCCTGCCCCTCTGCTAGAACCCTCCAGCCAGGCCGATCGGGCCCTACCTGGGCCCCAGCAGATGGGAGAGAAAGGATCTAAGAGGCAAAGCCAAGAATAATCCAAACCCAGCGTGCCTGGCTTAAAATCCTTCCCTCGAGGGCCAAGTTTGCCTTGAGCATCTCAGACAAATCCAGTAGGAATGTGAGGGTACGGAGAGCATGTTGGGGGACTCCGGGCCCTCTGCTTGGCTTAAGGCTATGCCCGTTGCTCTAAGCTTGGAGGAGTCTGAATAAACCCGAAGGAGGCATGGCAGTCCGAGTCCCAAGAACAGATCAGAATATTTGCCTGCCTCTCGTGTTCCAGCGAGGGAGGACGGGATTGGGTCTCCTTTGATAGATGTGGAAATAGAGGCTTCTCAAAAGCTAAGGAGGGTGGGAAGAGCTCAGAGACTAGGGAGAACGGGACATCGGGCTGCCCCAGGTGACAGGCTGTGCTGCGTCTGCAGGCGTTTTGGCACTAAGTGTGCGGGCTGTGCGCAAGGCATCTCGCCCAGCGACCTGGTCCGCAAGGCCCGCAGCAAAGTCTTCCACCTCAACTGCTTCACCTGCATGGTGTGCAACAAGCAGCTGTCCACCGGCGAGGAGCTCTACGTCATCGACGAGAACAAGTTCGTGTGCAAGGACGACTACCTGAGCTCGTCCAGCCTCAAGGAGGGCAGCCTCAACTCAGGTAGGAGGCCTCCACTCCTTCACGGCCCCAGGCCCCAGTGCCCTGGCGCCATGCGCAGCCTGGCCGCTCTCTACGTTGCCCCCTGTGCACCTTCTGCACCCAATCCCGCTCCCGCTCCCCCACAAGGCAGTTCTAGGGCCAGGAAGGGGCCGGGGGTCTGGGGAAGAGACACAGCGTTCTTTCGGAGTCAGTCCTGCAGGACACCGGAACACCCCGCCCTCTTCCCATTCAAGAACCTGTTCCAAAGTTGCCACCTCCCCCGATGTGGCAATTCTTTTCGCCTCTTTGGAGCTCCTGGAGATTTCTACCTGCACTGGGAGGACACTAAGTGGATTCTGGAGGAAGGAGAGAAGGGAGAAGAAGATCCGAGGCCCCGAGAGCACCTGCACCCCCTCCCTCGTGTGTCCCCTCTCCAAGAACGCCGGGCACTCCAGAGGGCGTGCCTCCCCCTTACGCAGGCAATAGCCGAAAAGTGCCGAGAAGGCCTGAGAAGGGCCCCTCCAAGGCCCGGCCCCGCCTGGAGGGAGTGGGCGGGCGCCGGGCCCGTGGGGGAGGGGCTGTCGCGGGGTTTGGGAGGGAACCCGGTGCGGTTGGAGATGGCCTGGGCCGGCAGAACCCGCAACCCTACTGGAGAGGCCTCGGGCCGCTTCTGACGCCGCTGTCCCTTCCCGCTCCGTCCGCCCGCAGTGTCATCCTGTACGGACCGCAGTTTGTCCCCGGACCTCCAGGACCCACTCCAGGACGACCCCAAGGAGACGGACAACTCCACATCTTCGGACAAGGAGACGGCCAACAACGAGAACGAGGAACAGAACTCTGGCACCAAGCGGCGCGGCCCGCGCACCACCATTAAAGCCAAGCAGCTGGAGACGCTCAAGGCCGCTTTCGCCGCCACGCCCAAGCCCACGCGCCACATCCGCGAGCAGCTGGCGCAGGAGACCGGCCTCAACATGCGTGTCATCCAGGTGCGGCCCGGCCCGCGTCGCCCTCCCCGCTTCCCCCAACCTCCGGGAGCCAAGGGGCTTGGAGGAGCCTCGCGCCCAGCTCCCTTAGCTGAGAGTGGCTGAGTTTGGGTCTAGGGTCCGACGGTGCGCACGAGGTCTGGGCCAGCTGGTCAAGCTCTCAACCGAAGTCACTAGTCATTTCACCTCTGAATCCCGTCCCCTGCCCCGTTCAAGGAGGGTTTTAAGCCTCGCTGAGGGTCCAAGACCCCTCCCCTTCCTCTCATCTTCCGAGCAGAGAAAGAGGCGACTTTCCCTGATGTGCCTCCTTCCTGCGCTGAAGCGCGGGGCAGACAAACGGCCAGAGTCTGGCTGGGGAGCCGAGGGGCCGAGACTAGAGCCGGGCCGGGCGGGAGGCCTTTATAAAGCCGTCAGGCTGCGGGCAGGCCGAGAACCAGGAAGCCCAAGTCTTTATGAATCGCCCCACGGGTCCGCAAAATCCTTCACCCTTGGCTGGTTCGCCGGGGCCCCTCTCCACCCCTCCGGCCTAATCCCGCCCAGCCCCCCTCCTCAGGGCAGTTTTGGAGCGAAGGCGGCGCTAGGACCCAGCAGGCGCGGCCCGGGCAGGGAGCAGACACCCCCAGCCGAATTCACAGCCCCCTTTTCTGCCCCAGGTGTGGTTCCAGAACCGACGGTCCAAAGAACGCCGGATGAAACAGCTGAGCGCACTCGGCGCCCGGAGACACGCCTTCTTCCGGAGTCCGCGGCGCATGCGTCCGCTGGGCGGCCGCTTGGACGAGTCTGAAATGTTGGGGTCCACTCCATACACCTACTACGGAGGTAAGGGCCCCCCGGGACGCGCTGCCCTACACCGAGGCCCGCGCTGTTCTTGGGGCTGAGAGCCCAGGGCCGGATCCCCTCGCTCTTGGTTACCGAGGTACCCCCTTCTCTCTTTTCTATTCATGCAGGACAATCACCGACACACCTTAACCGATGCACACCAATACACACACACACACACACACACACACAGATACCTCCCAGACGCAAAATCAGACACATAGGTTCACTCACCTATAGAGTGATACACAGATAAACACACCAGATGAGCAGCGAAACACACTGACCCACGCAGGACCCATGGGTGCACTCCCCCCCACACACACACACACTTGAGTTCAGAGACCTCAGGCACACAGATCTAGACACATGATCACATATGACCATACAAATGTAAACTCCATCCCAGAAACATGAACAAACACACCTGGAGAGATCCACAGGCTTACACACTCCCTCCCAACCATCATACCAAGCTGGGCACTCCCAAATCCAAATGCACCTGCCACAGCCAGACACACAGCCTTCCTGCTGCCCTTGCCTGGTGTACTTGGCGCCAGCGGGAACTCAGGCACTGGAGGGCAGCACTTGTGGTAGGAGTGGAGGGGTCAGGATTCAACTCTACCCCCAAGACTCCGCAGCCTGCTCACTAGCTTCCAAGACATTTGGTGCTGGGTTCTGCCGCCACTGGGACTGTGCACAGCCCCTGGCGCTGGTAGCCAAGATGCCGGCAATTGCTCTGGGCAGGTCTCAAGCCCACTCTCCAGCCCCAAGCACCCTGGGTTTCGTGGCGGCTGGGAGCTCAAGGATTGGGCCAATCCAGTTATCCGCTCTGCAGCTGTGGGGCTGCAGGAACGCAGAGCAAGAGTTTGCGAAGAGAATTCTGAGATCGGTGTTACCAGGCTCAGGCCTGGGCGAACCCTCCTCTCAGTCACCCATTCTCTTCCTCCTTCCCTCTTTCTCTCCTCCTTTCCTTCTTCCTCCATTCCTCCGCACTTGCTGGAGGAGACCCATTCCAACCCCCCATGGAGGTTTTTGGCGACTGCCTGTGTTCTGGGGCGTCACAGCACTGCACACGCTGCTACGCTTCCCGGACTGTGGGCTCAAGAAAGGCACCACCCGCTCCTGTCCCTGAGCCTCTGAATTTGGGGAGCCCCCAGAAGTGCCCATGCCTGAGAGGGCACTCCTCTCTGAGTTGCCCAGTGCCACAGGCCCGCTGGGGGTGTGGGAGGGCGCCAGTAGCCCAGACTGGGGAGAGGCGACTTCTCTTAGAAAAGTGGGTTTGGTGGCAATATGGAGAGCAAGGGCCAGGTGCCCCGCGCCCAGGGAGACCCAGGAGAGAAGATACCGACCTCGGTACATCCGCGAGCTTAGAAAGTTAAATTTTCAGGTCGAGTCGGGGCCACCAAAAATTGTCGACAAAATGTGAGGCTGTGCTTGGGGCAGAGACTGAGCTAGCAGGGCCCAGGTTTGGGGGAGGGAGCTGCCGACTCACAGGAAAGCCCGGATGGTGCCCGGAGTCCTGGGGTCTCCACTCACCGACCCTCTCCACCTCTCTTTGCCTCTTTCCGCACAAAATCTCTGCCGGCGCAGGAAGGTGGTGGGGCGTACCAGTCCGGAATTTTTCCCCGCCTGGGTAATTAACCGAGTATTCCCCGAAGACAGTGCGCCCCCACCCATCCCGCCGCCTCCTCTCCCCGCGCCTCTGCTGGTTGGAGTGGGGGCCTGGACACGCGGGCCCTGCTTCCCCCGGAATTGGAGCGGGGGTAGGACCCCGCCTCAGCCCCAGTGAGACAGCCCCGCCTAATGCGCGCTGGGAGATCCTGGCGGCGGCGGCGGCCGGCAGCGGGCGAGAAAGGGGCCGGGCGGCGGGCCTGCGGCTCCCCGTGGGAGCCTGGACAAAGC